ACCCTGTTGCCACATGTATACACATAGAGCTTTATTTCCACAACAGGCGAGAACAAACCTCATCGCGCTGGCGTTATTTATTCCATACTTATGGGCGTTTTAAATTAGGCTTTGAGGCTCGCGTGTGTATACGTAAAACCACAAGAACTTTAATTTAAATGCCCGCGTGTGTACACGTAAAACCACGTCTGAGGGTTAAGTAAGCATTTTCTGGAGTAAATGCATTTGCAAAGTATAGTAAATGTTTTAGGTGCTTTTTGTATGAGAAAATGCACATTATATTTTGGTAACTGACAGTGAGGTCTTCTGCCTTGTGACACCATGCAGTCTTGCAGTTGGTTACTACCAATGTTACCACCTTCATGTGATTGGCTTTTTTAATACCCCTTTTGCTCCTCAAGGAGCGTAGGTGCCTCCTTTTCGAAGTTTCTTTATCTGTTATACATTTGGTAGGACTCCTTGGACAAGTGATCAGCCCAAGCACACGAGACCCATGCCTCAGACCGTGCAGCCACTGTGGCCAGTGTGATTAGCTTATAGTGAAACAAAACTTATTTATTATCCCTCAGGTTAATTTAGATTTTTCTAGAACTGTATGTAGAAGGCATTAACACTTCATCAGGCTTAGATATCATGTTTTGCAATAATCTTTATCATGATTACAGAACTTTTCTTCAAATTTTGAAATGTGCCTAACAGTATGGAAGTAGAGTTCTTCATAAGATGCCAATAGTTGGTTGGCTAGTCATGGAACCAGAATGCTTTTATTGTGTTCACAACAGGCTGCCTTTGGACTCTCTCTTGAGCCATATGTGTCCTCAAACTCTATTTCTTTAAAACCCATTTTAATATTTTCCTGACATCTACATGTAGGTGTGCCAAATGGTAAATTTTTATGAGTTTTTCTGGCCAAATTATTAATAACAGTAATTTGTAGTTTAAACATTATTTGAAACTTATTTGTGCGTTAATAGACTAAAACCAGACAAAACATTCAGTATTGCAAAAAACATGTGGAAAAACTGTGATATGTGAAATGTACATTACTTCCACATTCCCCATTGATTTGACCAAATCTGTGCAAATTCTGATTTGATTTGTGTTTTGTTTCACAGACTAAGAAATATGCGGATGTTATAATTCCTCGTGGGGCAGACAACACTGGTGAGTAACTGTTACATTTCAGTATTTTGATGGGACACACGTGTCATATCTGTGTGGAGAACGTATGAATAGTATAGCATAATTTCTTGTTTCTTTTGAGTTTCACTTTTCATATTGGATAGTGAAACACTGCACATGTCTGGAATCCATAACCTACTGTTTACAAGGCAGATAGTTTGCAAATGTGGTTTCAGATGAGTCTGCAGGAATGGTAAGTTTGTGTTCAGTTTATGAGACCATAATGAATCTTACAATTTCTTGTGCTTAATTGAAGAAGTATAGTCCAACATACAAGACATATTTCTGAAATACTTATAAAATTGTATACACACAAGGGGAGCACCGTGATGCTAAAGAAATCTATTGTGTGGTATGTTCAGTTGCTGTGAATGTATTGGTTAAAGTACCGGGTTTACAATTTATGTCTTTCGAGGCACGCCCGCACTGCGCGGTCGGCTGGCGGTCTGTTGACGTGGGCGGGACTAGTCCGTGTTCTTCCCATGAGTCACAGGCGAATCAGTTTCATTGCGTCTCTTGTAGCGGATTGACGTTGATAATATGGTGTATAGTATTAAGCAACGTGTGTTCTTAGTCGAAACATGTGCCAAATATTCATCCTACGGAAGATGCCCCCGTAAATTTCGCAGACATTTTCCCGGTGTAAGTGTTCCTAGCAGGCCCATGATAAAGAGCTTAGTAAAAGAATTTTGTAGTACGGGATCAGTTTTGGATAAAAAGAAGAACAGGAAACGACAATTCATTTCGGCAATATCCCAGAAGAGCTTCGTCGAGTATTTAGAAATATGTTAACGAGATGTGAAGCTTGCCTGCAAGCACAAGGAAGTCACTTTGAACATCTTTTGTGATTTAAGGTAAGAACAATTAATGTAATAACATGTATCAGTGACGAGAAACACTCGCAGCTCCCTGTTACTAGCGGCAATGAAACTGATTCGCCTGTGACTCATGGGAAGAACACAGACTAGTCCCGCCCACGTCAACAGATCGCCAGCCGACCGCACAGTGCGGGCGCGCCTCGAAAGACATAAATTGTAAACCCGGTATTACAGCCTTATTTTATGTTTACTTTTAAAATAATTGTCATTTATTATCAAAACTGCTGTAAATCATGACTTCTATACATGGTAATACACTGATCAATGTAGTCCATGGTGTGAGTACATGTATTATACAAATCAAAGATGTACTTTGGCTTCACAGTTGATTTGCCTGTCCCCTTAATCACATCATCTGAGTCATCTTCTCTATATATTCTGCTTCATTTCACTTTCATGAAGCCCATAAAGACACACAAGGCCAAGAGATCAGCTGTGAACTCAGTACAGTACCAACACACAATTATGGAACTGTCTTTGATCGATTATCAATGAGACCAAACCACAGCACTGGAGGACCAGACATTGCTGTTCATAGTAAATATTATCAGGAAGAAAGAGGGCAAATGCAAGGGAGGAAAAAGAAACAGATGTTCATTGGTGTTAATCGTGTAAATGAACCTTCAATCAAACTCTGCTGATATGTGGTGGCATCTTTTCTGATATTTAAGTTATAAGGAGTGGTATGCCAAATCTGAGTTGTTGTTTTTTTGTTTTGGTGCTGGTAGTATTTATTCTTTTTTATTTACATTGTTGTAGTGAATTGTATTTCTTCATTAGTGCTTGGTTTATTTCTTTATGCCATTCTGATGCTTCTTCTTACAATTGTATTTCTTTACTGTGAGATGCCTTGGTATGTGAACTTTGCCCTGTTCTTGCTCCTTTGCTCTCCTCTTTATGTAGTGTTCATTGTATGGTAAGGGTAATATTTGGACCTAAGAATGAAGAAGTAGCAGGAGGGACCAGAAAATTATATGATGAATTGCCTTAAATATACTCTACACCAAATATTATTATGATGACCAAATCAAGGAGGGTTAGATATGTTGGACATGTAGCAATTTTAGAAATTCATACAAGGTAGGGACCAGCTGAATGACTGGTAGCATCTCAAGAACAGTCCTCCATTGAATTTGGTGGTTATTTATATTGGTCTTCCAGGTTGTGATGCCATGTGGACTTGTAGGTAAATACCATTGTTTCAGAGGAACACATGCTTCTGTCTTTAGCCTTGGAGATGGTACTATGTTTCTCAAAAACTTTATTATCTACCTAGATGTTCACACAGCATCACAACCCAGAAAACCAACTCTGACATCTTTGCTGCCATGATTATTCATCTCATGGAGTGAGTGAGTGAGTTAGTTGGTTAGTTAATTAATCAGTCATTCAACATTATTAAACAAGGAAACAATTAGTTACCTTGAAAGACCAATCTGTAGATGAAGATTTCTGTCTTCTGGGGTATTGCGCTGTGTAGTCTGGTCGATGTTAACCAATGTTTCAGAGGTCATACTGCCTCCGTCATCGCCCTGATGACGGAGGCCGTATGACCTCTGAAACGTTGGTTAACATCGACCAGACTACACAGCGCAATACCCCAGAAGACAGAAATCTTCATACTCATCGCCCTGATGACGGAGGCCGTATGACCTCTGAAACGTTGGTTAACATCGACCAGACTACACAGCGCAATACCCCAGAAGACAGAAATCTTCATACTCATCGCCCTGATGACGGAGGCCGTATGACCTCTGAAACGTTGGTTAACATCGACCAGACTACACAGCGCAATACCCCAGAAGACAGAAATCTTCATACTCATCGCCCTGATGACGGAGGCCGTATGACCTCTGAAACGTTGGTTAACATCGACCAGACTACACAGCGCAATACCCCAGAAGACAGAAATCTTCATACTCATCGCCCTGATGACGGAGGCCGTATGACCTCTGAAACGTTGGTTAACATCGACCAGACTACACAGCGCAATACCCCAGAAGACAGAAATCTTCATACTCATCGCCCTGATGACGGAGGCCGTATGACCTCTGAAACGTTGGTTAACATCGACCAGACTACACAGCGCAATACCCCAGAAGACAGAAATCTTCATACTCATCGCCCTGATGACGGAGGCCGTATGACCTCTGAAACGTTGGTTAACATCGACCAGACTACACAGCGCAATACCCCAGAAGACAGAAATCTTCATACTCATCGCCCTGATGACGGAGGCCGTATGACCTCTGAAACGTTGGTTAACATCGACCAGACTACACAGCGCAATACCCCAGAAGACAGAAATCTTCATACTCATCGCCCTGATGACGGAGGCCGTATGACCTCTGAAACGTTGGTTAACATCGACCAGACTACACAGCGCAATACCCCAGAAGACAGAAATCTTCATACTCATCGCCCTGATGACGGAGGCCGTATGACCTCTGAAACGTTGGTTAACATCGACCAGACTACACAGCGCAATACCCCAGAAGACAGAAATCTTCATACTCATCGCCCTGATGACGGAGGCCGTATGACCTCTGAAACGTTGGTTAACATCGACCAGACTACACAGCGCAATACCCCAGAAGACAGAAATCTTCATACTCATCGCCCTGATGACGGAGGCCGTATGACCTCTGAAACGTTGGTTAACATCGACCAGACTACACAGCGCAATACCCCAGAAGACAGAAATCTTCATACTCATCGCCCTGATGACGGAGGCCGTATGACCTCTGAAACGTTGGTTAACATCGACCAGACTACACAGCGCAATACCCCAGAAGACAGAAATCTTCATACTCATCGCCCTGATGACGGAGGCCGTATGACCTCTGAAACGTTGGTTAACATCGACCAGACTACACAGCGCAATACCCCAGAAGACAGAAATCTTCATACTCATCGCCCTGATGACGGAGGCCGTATGACCTCTGAAACGTTGGTTAACATCGACCAGACTACACAGCGCAATACCCCAGAAGACAGAAATCTTCATACTCATCGCCCTGATGACGGAGGCCGTATGACCTCTGAAACGTTGGTTAACATCGACCAGACTACACAGCGCAATACCCCAGAAGACAGAAATCTTCATACTCATCGCCCTGATGACGGAGGCCGTATGACCTCTGAAACGTTGGTTAACATCGACCAGACTACACAGCGCAATACCCCAGAAGACAGAAATCTTCATACTCATCGCCCTGATGACGGAGGCCGTATGACCTCTGAAACGTTGGTTAACATCGACCAGACTACACAGCGCAATACCCCAGAAGACAGAAATCTTCATACTCATCGCCCTGATGACGGAGGCCGTATGACCTCTGAAACGTTGGTTAACATCGACCAGACTACACAGCGCAATACCCCAGAAGACAGAAATCTTCATACTCATCGCCCTGATGACGGAGGCCGTATGACCTCTGAAACGTTGGTTAACATCGACCAGACTACACAGCGCAATACCCCAGAAGACAGAAATCTTCATACTCACCGCTGTGAGAACCTCAAGTCTTACAATCTGTAGATGTCATGAAAGTTTATACAGTCATTATATTGATATTTAAGGCCCACAGATTTCCATAAATGAACACACAACAAAATGTAGGATAAATGAATACACTGACTGATGTTCTCTTTAATTTGCTGATTTAGTTGGAAGAGGAGACATTGTTGGAAAGGATCTTAGTTTAATTATAATGAATAATAATAATGTATTTAAGTGAACAGGTATTTATAACTAATAAGAATTAGTGCCAGTTTTGTAGTTGAATAATTTAATAGCTATTCTTTAAATGTACCAGTGACTTATACTTTCAAATTAAACTAATTAGCCAAGTAATAATTAGTTTCATAAAAGATTGATGTATTCATTAGTCTTATTTTATTTTTTGTCGCACCAGGGAATTTTGTGTCTATCTGCTGACAAGCTGGGAGCAGTGACATTAATAGGGAAACAAATATAAATGGTTTCAACATACACTTAAATATATATAAAGGACTTTGTATACCGTGATGTTAGATGACATATTCTTTTTGGCTCACGGTATTGGATGGTATAACTCTCGACAACAAAATTTATATTTTTAT